CCTACCGCAAGCGATATGTTGTAGATCCATAATCTGTTCCTAGCCGTGTCCCTTCCGAGTCCATACGGTAGAGGAAGTTTGTGATCGGCCACAACGCCAAAAACAACTCGACCAAGGGTATTACACAGTCCTAGAAATTGTGATTGGAAATGTTGAAAGAAAGTCTCAGACAATGTCAGATGTACTCTGATGTTTTTAATGTGAAGCCAGAGACCTGAACCAAAAGTAAAAAGGTATGTAAATTAAGACCACGCACCAAAAACCGAAAGAACCCTTGAAGAACTTGTCGAATCGAGTCCAACACCTCTTGTTGCGTGCAGTGGCAAGAAGTACAACGGCGAGTTGAATCCAACAGATGTTAGGAGATTAGAGATAGCGAAAACAAGGAAAACGGGGTCAATAAGTAATGACAATGAAAGCATTTTGCCTATGGTCCTGCAAATACTTGCAATTGAAGAATCAGTCATTCAAAACCCCCAGCTCACTTGAACATGTTGCTGCCTTCAGCATCAGGTGTACTCCTTTCGGAAACTTCTTCGCTGTCTTCCCTCAATTCGTGCAACTTATCAATAGATGCAGCGCTAGCAGTAGTACTGAGACTTCGTTTTTGCAGAGAGCCAGTAGATCTGCAAAGAAATTATAAAAGCTTGAGAAAGAACTTCAGATGACCCTTTTATGGCATTAATTACTTTGAATTTCTTGGTTACAACATTTAGCTTAAACTGAATATTCCAATAAACTACTTGAAAATGGATTATTGACTTTGATTCAAAAAACAGAGTCGAATTTACAATGTAATAGTTGGAAAACGAATTTACTTGGTTACGAGGTCCAGATTCAAAAAAGATCATTATTTCGCTTTTGAAAATTTGAAAACTTGAAGTTCCGAAATCGAATACTCAAATAATGCTGATACTACGATGTGATTTTCGTTTGTTTATATGGCTGCAAAGTTGCCAAACATTGATTCGCTCGGTACGATACCTGTAACTCATCGAATCTTCGATACTGCGCGAAGAGAGCTCGTTCTATTCCAACACAAATATTCCATAATTATGGGTATAAATCATAATTACAATCTATTATCTCTAGATAGCTCAGAGCAGAGCAAAGTTCTCTGCTTTAGAAATCAAGTTCCAAAAACACACATGGTTAACCTACAAAAAAACGTCAGTGTGATGAGTTGCTGGACAAATAATATAGATAGTCCATTTCTGGGTTTGTAATATATTTAACGCAAAAAATCCTTTTCCTTGGTTTTTTTGCCAGGGCACCATATCTATACATACCTGTACTTGTCAGGATTCTCCATGAATTCTGCAACATTTCTTATTGAGCCTGTGTAGAAGACATCCTTCTTATTTAGATACCCAACGTCTCGTTCGCCAAC